CAGCCCGTAAAAGCTAGTCATTTGCATTCTTTTAGAAAGTCATTGAGGCCACTTGGAGGTTTATCTGTAGTAGTAGAGAAAATGCATTACTCAGGTGATTCGGAGGACGCAGATAAATCTCCAAGCGGCCTCAACGACCCTCTAAAAGGATGCAAATGACCAGCTTTGTCTGCAAGGAGCATCAATCCTTCCCATTTCCCACCACCCAGTCAGAGCTGAAGAAGCTTCTCGGAGGAGAAGCAAAATGTCTTCAAAGAAAATCCAGAAAGCCCAGTTGCCTCTTGAAAAAAAGCACCTTTGGGACAATCATGATCTGAGATGACTGAGAATCTCTACAGACTTTTAGCTACACATGAAAACCCTCTGGACTGGTGTGGGAGTCAGGAATGGTTTTCCAGAGGGGAAAAACTGCAGACTACAGGAACCAATTGCACCACTCAGGTGGCCCTGAGGACACCGATAAACCTCCAAGCGGCCTCAACGACTCGCTAAAAGGAGGCAAATGACCAGTTTTGTCTGGAAGGTTCTATCAATCCTTCCATTTCTCACCATCCCGTCGGAGCTGAAGAAGCTTCTTGGATGAGAAGCAAAACATCTTCAAAGAAAAATGGAGCCGAGGTGGCGCAGTGGTTAGAGTGCAGTACTGCAGGCCACTTCAGCTGACTGTTATCTGCAGTTCGGAGGTTCAAATCTCACCGGCTCAAGGTTGACTCAGCCTTCCATCCTTCCGNGCGGTCTCTCAAGTACCCAGGTCCAATACCATTTCCCAGGTAATCACATATTTTGTTGTCATTTATTAAAAACTGTTTTTAAAAAGTAGCTCAGAGCATTGTAATGCTTTAGTAATTCCATCTAGTGTCCCCACCTAGGTACCATTTTCAGTGAAAGACAGTTATATTGTACGCTTTCAGTTAAGTGATGGAATGACAACCTGCAACCTACAGATCCACAACAATTGGGACTTAAATTTCTGTTGCTAAGCAAGGTGGTTGCTAAGGGTATCACACCTGATATTATCCCCTTTTTGCCATGGTTGTTAAGTGAATGGTTTCGGTTGTTAAGTCAATCACACATTCATTAAACAAACCTAGTTTTCCCCATTGACATCCCTTGTAAGAAGCTGGCTGAGAAGGTTAAAATGATGATCACAGGGCCCCGGGCTGCTGCAGCCTTTGTCAGTTGTCATGCCGGTTATCACATGCACGCATGTTGATCACATGAGCATGGGAATGCCATGATGGTCATAAGAGTGAGGATCAGTCCCAAGTCACTTTCTCAGAGCCATTGTGACTTCAAATTGTCACTAAATGAATGGCTGTTAGTCAAGGACTACCTATAACAGCAATGAGGATATAATTCAAACATATATTGTAATCAATCATGTGACTCAAAAATGCTACCCTCTACCTGTGATGGCAAACCAGAGGTGGCACGCAGTGCCTTCTCAGTGCCAGTTCAGCTATGCCACGCAAGCACACATGCATGCGTGCCTCCTGCCAGCCAGCTGATCTTCAGGTCTCTGCCACGCATGCTGGGGGGTGCGGGGGTCGTACGCATGCATGGGGGGTGTATGGAGGGGCCACACATGCATTGTATTTTGGGGGTTCGGGCGCACCCATGTGCATTCGCATGCACACGCTTTGGGCACTCAGTCTGGAAAAGGTTAGCCATCACTGTTCTCTATGTGCTTTTGACACACAAAACACATGTGTTTTGACAAGGAGAATGAAAATGGCAAGAACTACTTTATCTAGAAAATACTTTGTCAAATTGAGTATCACTATGTTGTGAAGTAGAACACTATGAATTGGCTCTTATCCTGCATGTTATTCTTGGCAGTTGGGTAGACCCCTTTGGTTTCCATTATTATCCTACCATCTGTTATGAAAAGTCCAAGGTCAGGAATTAGCAGGCATAAGGGAGGGAAGAAATATAGTTTAATGTAGCGAGAAGAAAATCCAAAAATAGCTTATTTTCAGGCCACATTATTATTTTGAACCAGTTGTTATACATACCCACTTACCTTCCTTTTCCAAGGGAAATTCCATTTTTTCTGCAAACTAACACACTTCTATTAATTATCTATAACACAAGCCCATTGGAAATTTTGAGATGATGGCTATAATTGAACTGTTCCTAGTTACAAAATGGCTGAGGTACTGGACATGCACAATTACAAAATATCCGTGCCAGAATGCAAATTGATAAGATTGATTGCCCTCATCCTTTATTTGTTTCTATAAAGTCATAACTTTCCTTAGTAATTTTTTTTCTGGACAAAAAAACAGTACAGTACTGTTAAAATGCAATTAGATTTTTTTCATTTTATATGGGGTTAAATATATTTTGATAAGAGACTACATGTAGAAACTTATATCAGCTTTTGGTTCATTCTTTTAAATAAATGATCAAACAAACCAAATATGCTTTTATTTCTTGTTTGTTGAAGTCAAGTGAAATGGAAACTTACAGGGAGCCAACATAATTCCATAGGCACATAAATGTGTTACCTATTTCAGATGCCTAACGGTCTTGCAGTTAAGATGGTTGCAAATATAGGTGTTCTTAAGGACTTAAAATATGTTGCCCTCTTCTGACCAGAATATGAGATTACTGGTTTTTTTTGTTATTGTTCTCATGTATTAAAGCAACCAGAAACAGGTAAATAAATCTGGAAAATAGGAATTTGTAATACTATGACGGTCCAAAGGAAAATATTTCAAAAATATTACTTTTGTATCTTTCTATGTAAGATGCAAAAATATCTTACAGAGAAACGGTAGTCAGCAGCCTCTTAACCGTAAGATGATAGGACTGGCATGATGTCACTTCATGAGTAATTTCTAAGTGGACTTTCCCCATTTTTCATTCTCTAAGGTAGCCTTGTCCAATATGCAAGCAGTCTTTTGTATCTGCAGCTCCAGAGATATGAGTAGTCCTTGACTTACAACCATTCATTTGGTAAATTCGTTTATCTTCGTCATCTTATTTCTTGTTTCATTCTAAAAAGTCATAGGTTGTGTGTGGATTGGAGGGATGTCTTATGTTTTCCCTGCCCAGGATTAAGGCAACTTGAAAATAGGCAGTAGCAGAAATAACTATCAAGCAACTCTCTCAATGCAGGAGGATGGGGTAGGGCAGTGTTGGCAAAAGCGGTTACTTTATTATGATCGCCCACATTACAAGAATTTTACCAAACTCTCTGCATTCCTTTGCGGATCAATAAGACTTTCCTAGTCTGGTCGACGTTATTTCCTCCCCTGGAGTAATTCCATATTGGCATCCTTCTTAATTCCCTCTTCCCATTCAGCTGCTGCTTCCACTACATCCAAATTTTAATGAGCCTATGTACATGAATAATAGAAAATGGACTAACTATACTGTCTCTTTGACCTACTAGCCTTATTCCACTTATGAGCTCCCATGATTAGCTAAAGAAAAGACATACACCCTTTTTTTTACATGCAGAAGGGTTCTTTTTTAAGTCAAGCCATCAGTGATGTGCAGTCAGGGAAGGCAGGGGAGGCAGAGCCTTACTACTGTCATCATGAAAAGAAAAAAAAAATGTAAAAGGAAAAAGGCAAAGAGTTGAGGTCAGGCTGAGCTAGTTGCTGCCAGAGTCACTATGGATAACTCTGCTTACTACTTAACTGTTTAAAAAAGCCTCTAAAAAAGCACCCTCTACAGGAGGAGGCAGGAGAACAACATGCCTCATTTAGTCTGACTTTAGGTGTTTTATGATCACTCGAGCAGAGTTAAGCTGCTGCCTCCTCCTGTAGAGAGCGCTTTTTAGAGGCTTTTTTAAACAGTTAAGCAGAGTCATCCACGGTGACTCTGGCAGCAACTACCTCAGCACTTGCCTTTTTCCTTTTACATTTTTTTTCTTT